TCCAACATTTTGTCCCTTTCCTCTTCAATCATTAAAGCCAATCTGATAGGTGTAAAATGATATCTCAAGGTTGCTTTAATTTGCATATCTCTACTCAGTAGTGATTTAGAGCATGTTGTTCATATATTTATAAGTTGTTTTGATTTCTTCAAAGAAAAATTGCCTGTTCATATCCTTTCACCATTTATCAATTGGGGAATGACTCGTATTCTTACAGACATGACAAAGTTATTTATATATATAAGACATGAGACCTTCATCTGAGAAACTATCTATAAAAATGGGGAGGGAAGAAAAAAAAGAAAGTTACATAATAATGTTATTATATATTTAAAAGGAATAGCAAGCTGTACATAATAGATTTGCAGATTCATGTGCAATCATCTTTTTTTCTATTCTACTATGCTATGGAAATGCTTGTTTAATTTCTTAAGTTCAGAATAAACTAAATAAAATTTTAAAAATGTGATTGAGAAATAAGGAAATAAAAATACCATTAAAATAGATAATACCATATTTTAACACTAAACCAATATGTGGCTGCAGAGATCCCTATGTGTGGACTAGCAGTCCCCTGTTCCTCTTTCAGTTTGACACCACTGGTCTAGAGCAGGGGTGCTTAATCATTTTTGAGTCATGGACCCCTTTGGAAGTCTAATAAAGGACATAGACCCTTTCTCAGAATAATGTTCTAAAATTTATAATATAAAATATGTAGCATTGCAAAGGAAACCAATTATAAGTATCAAATATTAAATAAACAAGTCCTTGAACGCTGGTCTAAGACAGAAAAAAAAAAGATTGAAGACAGAGACATCAGGAACACCAGAATTTAGAAGGAAGGAGGTAAAAACAAATGTAGAGAAACAGATGGGTCAATAAAGAACAAAGAGTGAGCCTTTTTATAATATTGATACTACAATATAAATTGTTCCTCTGGTTCACTTCATTCTACATCAGTTCATAAAACTGATCTCTTTCCATGTCTCTTTGAAATCATCTATTTCTCCACCTCTTAAAGAAAAATAGTACTCCATTACATTCTTATTCAGCCATTTCCAAAGTGAATGTGTCATGTCACAAGCCCAAGGGAGGAAGTTTCAGGGGGGGGAAAAAATCACTGATTTTGAGCTGGAAATTATATTAGAGACTATTTAGTCCAATTCACTAATTAGCCACGAAGAAACTAAGGCCCAGAGAGGGTGACTTGCCCAAGGTTACAAAGGTAATAAATGACAGGCAAGATTTTGAACCTAGGTCTTCTGATTCAAAATTCAGTACAGGTTGATGAAAATTGGAACTGATAGAAGGATGTTATATTTAGAAATTAGGGATTTTGTGGCTGACCTTTAAGAGAAAAGTTGTGGTCAAAATGTTAGGGATGCAAGTCTGATGCAAAAGGCAGGGAGGGAGAGATTGAAGACTGCTCCCCCTCCCAAAAAAAATGTGACAAGAAGAGAAATTTCACAATTTAACTTCCAAGAGGTGAACAAATTCTGGATGGTAATGAGATCTAAGGTTTGGCTATTACCAATTGCAAAGGTAGGAAAGACATTTAAGCGGAAATAGAGATACACAGAGAAGGGAGAAATGATGAACTGTGAAGAAAAGATGGTAGATAGGCATTAACAGCATTTTGAAATTACCAGGGATAAGGAAGGACTAAAATAACTGAAAAAATGTCATATCTCCTAATTAGAGAGTGAGGGATGATGATGGTTAGTTTGATTTTTTCCCTTTTTTTTTTTTTCTACAGTGGTATCTAATATGCTTCTGGGCTCATAATAAGAACTTGAAAAATACCTGTTGATTGCCTGACCAAAAATCTCAAAGTTCAAAGAATATCTTAAGTTTAGAAAAAAAAACACATGCTTTTTTTTATAACTTATTTTAATTAGATCCAAATGTTCCCTTCTTTCTTTGTGGGTTTTTTTTTTTAGTAACAGATACAGACAAGAGATCCTTAGAACTTACTGGAAATCTTTCTTGAAGAAACAGGAAGATATATTTTCCAAGAGTCTATTTAAACAGAAGAACACCCAAAGCCTGAACTGGCAAGAACCACTGAGTGGGACTAAAACAATGCTAAACATGCTCTAATTTTCCATGTAACTCACTGCAGCCTGGAGGCCATCTGCAGCCCTCTAGGTCCTCAAGTGTGGCCTTGTGACTGAATCCAAACTTCACAGAGCAAATCTCCTTACTAAAAAGATTTGTTCTGTAAAACTTAGACTCGGTCAAGTGGCTGCACCCAAGGACCTAGAAGACCACATGTGGCCATGATGCCACAGGTTCCTCATTCCTGGATAGGATGAGGAAATGTTTATATTCAAATCAGTTTATAGGTGGTCCATTTATTACATTGAATAAAATACAGAAGATCCTGTAAATTTCATCTCAAATAATGTCTAATACTACTAAGAACTCATATTTTTGTAATTCTTCATCATCACAAAGCATTTTACATAACTTATTTCATCTCATACTCACAAAAGCCCAGTGAGGTCCAAGTAACATCAGCCTTATTTTACAGATAAATCGAACCAAGGATCTGAGAGATTAAATCAGCAATGGGAGTGTGGCATACTATGGGGCCAAGAGGGAAGAAAGAAGAATCTGGTCTTTCTCAGAGCCTGCAAGAGGAGACTGGTACTTGAAATTCTGTAGGGCTATTTTTTGGATTGGCAAGAGGTAGATTCAGGGCTCCTGCTGGCTGATATGCAAGTTGCAATCCTGGCACCGGTACAGAGACAGAGGAAACATAGCAGGAGAACTAGTACATGTGACCATTCCATTCTCAGTCTCCTTTGCTGGATCTTCATCTAAGTCACGCCCCATAACAGTGAGTATCCCCCAGGGCTCTGTCCCAGGCCTCTTCTCTTTGTCTTCTGTATAATTTTACTTGGTAATTTCATTAGATCCCATGGATTCAATTATGATTCCTATTCTAATGCTCCTCAGATCTACTTATACAGACTGAACCTTTCTGCTAACCTCCAGACTCACATCTCCAGCTACTTGTTGGACCTCTCAAACTGAATGTCCTATAGACCTCTTAAATAGAAGATGTCCAAAATGAATTCATTATCTTTTCATCCCAAACTCTCTGATTTTTCAAACCTCCACCTTACTGTAAAGGGTACAATATCCTTTTAGTTATCCAGGCCTGTAACCTAAACATCACACGGCTCCTCATTCTCTCTCATCTCCCATATCCAAACAATTGTCAAGTCCTTTCAATTTTACCTTTGTGATGTCTCTCATTATGGGACCTTTCTCTCTTCTGATACTGCCAGGTCCTCATCCCCACGTGCCTAGACTACTGAAATAGCCTGCTGGCTTCTTTCCCTGCCATAAGCCTCCACTCATTCTAATCCATCCTCTATCCAATTGCCAAAGTAGCTTTTCTAAAGCACAGGATTAACTATGTCATCTCTTCCCATTCAATAAATTCCAGTGGCTCCCTATCCCTTCTAGGGTCAAATAGAAAATCTGTTTGACTTCCAAAGTCCTGCATAACCTGGTCCCTCCTAACTTATGCTCTACTGTATACTCTGTGATCCAGTGATCCCTGCCTCCTTGCTGTCCCTCCCACAATACACACCATCTCTCAACTCCATCCGTACTCACTGCCTGTCCTCAAACTTGGAATTCTCTCTCTCTCTCTCTCTTCATCTGTCACTCACTACTTCAATGATTTTCTTCAAGTCCCAGCTAAAATCCCATCTTCTACATGAAGCCTTTCCCAGTCCCCTTTAATAAGAGTAGCTCCCCTCTGTTGATTATCCCCATTTGTCCTGTATATATATCATTTGTACATAATTGCTTGTAGATCATTTTTCCCATTAGACCATGAGTTCCATGAAAGCAAAGACTGTCTTTTGCCCTTCTTTAAATCCTCAGTGCTTAACACAGTACTTGACACAGTAGGCACCTCATAAATACCTGTTGACTAACTGACCTCAGAATCCATGACACTATGTATATGAGACGTATGTTAATCTTGTTTAGCGAAGAGACTTTGGAGAGACAAAAAAGAAGCAAGGTTTAAGAGATATGGGGTTAAAGTAAAGGTGTAAACTTTGGAAAGTCTAATGGAGTCTGGGAAATTGGAGGAAGGTGAGGAAAGCTGATTGTCCAATATGTCCCTTGATTCCTAGTACTTGTATCCCAGAGATTATTAAGAGCAGATTTCTCTGGTGAGGTTATTCTCCACTTGGGTGACCTAAGATTTTATGTTTCTCCTGAGTGATGGAGATCATTTAGCTTGGCATATTCTATCATTTGTATAACTTTCTTGATTTCTGATTATAGCTTGATTGGATAAATGTTTGCTCACTATCTATTATTGTCTTATATAACAAGTATTTGGTGGGACAGAGCTAAGCTATCTGAAACTGTTACTCTCTTCTTTAGAGATATCAGGGAAAGAGGGAAAAGTGGTTTCTATCCTGAATCTCTAATAGGGTGGTATGCTCATAGACCACAGACATCTGATGTGTAATTGGTGGATATAATTCTAGTCCAGTACCTCTTGTTGAGATAGGAAAGTAGAGGAATGAGTGTCCAGTCACGGTCTTCCTCCTATTCCACATAAAAGTGAAAAATGTATTCTTCCATGGAGACACAGAAGGGGGCAATCTGAATCTTATTTATCTAACTATATATTTGTAAAGTGGAACAACCCGGGTTCCTGTGACTACAGTTCTGCACATACAAGCTCTTGTTTAGAACCTGTGAGAGAGGGTACTAGCCTCCAACTAGTGCGGTTCTTTTTCTCCACTCCACCTGGATATAGTGAAGAAGAGCAAGGAGAAGGAGGAGGAGGGGGGAAGAAGAGTGAGAGGGAGAAAAGGAGTGGGGGGTGGAAGAGAAGGAAGGAGAGGAGAAGGATAGTATACAACAATTATACATTGGCCCTCTTCCAAAATGAAGTAGCAACAGTAGCAGCAACAACAGCAGGAAGCATTTTGACTGCTCAGTGAAATTTTGGCTGTTACCTGAATGTTGAGCCGACCTCTGTGAGCCCCCAGGCCATATCGCTTAACTGTCGAGGCATGTAGCTGGAAGTCAGTGATTTTTAATGTTTCCAAACCCAGAGGAGGACAACCTGGAAACCAAAGGTATTGTTAAAAATGCAGAAAAACAACTTCCATTTCATTTAAATTGTAGAGAAATGCAAATTAAAACAACCTTGAGAGATCACTTTACACTTATCAGACTGGCTAAGATGATTGAAGGAGAAATGACAAATATTGGAGGGGATGTGGAAAATTTAGGATACTAATTCACTATTAGTGGAACTATGAACTGATCCAACTATTTTAGAGAGCAATCTGGAATTATGCTCAAAGAGTTATTAAACTGCCTGTCCCCTCTGATGCAGCAATACCACTACCGGGTTTATTTCCACAGATAACGAGGGAAAAAGGAAAAGAATTCATTCGGCTTAAAATATTTATAGCACTTCTCTTTGTGGTGGCAAAGAACTGGAAATTGCAGTGATGCCCGTTAATTGGAGAATGGTTGAACAAGTGGTGGTATATGATTGTGATGGAATATTGCTGTGCTATAAGAAAAGCTCAATGATCTTAAAAAAGACATGGATAGACTTGCATGAAATATGAAGAGCAAAATGAGCAAAACCAAAAGATCATTGTATATATTAACAGCAATATTGCATTAAGAATAACTTTGCGACTAGCTCATTTCAATTATTATAAATACCCAAATTAACTACAAAGGACGTATGAAGGAAGATGCTATATGCATCCAGAGAGAATTAACAAATAGACATATATATAGAATGATTTTACATACACATATACATACATACATACATATATGCCTATTTATGTCTAATGGTAGCCATCTCTATGTGGAAGGGGTAGGGAAGAAAAGAAGGGAAAAAATAAAGTTACATGATAACTTTGTTACATATTCAAAAGGAATAGCAAGTTGTAAAGAATAGATTTGCAGTTTCAGGTACAATCATCTTTTTTTTCTTCTATTATGTTACAGAAATGCTTATTTTATTTCATAAATTAAAAATAAAACATTTTTAAATGAAGAAAGGCAAAGAACTATAGGCGGACAAATGTTTTATATTTTCCTCCACAGTACTTCGAGTTTTTCATTTTCCAGCCTCTGTTCTTGCTTCCTGGGGTGTCTCTTCCCACAGGTATGCACAGTATTTCCTGACAAATGCTTGTTCACTCAAGTGTCAACATAAGGCCTATTTTCTTCTCTATTTTGGCATTTGTTTTCTGTTCTTTTGTTTTAATATTCTCATTTGTTCTCCATGCTACTGTCCTGAGGCCATGTTTCCAAGTAAGATTGCTGTGAGATTGGCAGTCAGGGAGTGGCTGGCTGCCACTGGTTAGAAAATTCCAGATGACCACATGGTTGAGCTCTAAAAAATTCATCAGAACTTGTTGATTTTACTTCAAGTCCACTGAAATAGCGTGCTTTGTATCTTACTGAGTGCAGGAATATAAACAGAAAAACCAAACAAACATTGACTTTGGTTCTTAGCAACATTAGTAACGTCGAGAATAGCTACAAAACGTATTCAGATCAACTCTTCAGTTTTGGTCTTGTAGCCCCAAGGTGAAGTTCACTCCTTGACACTTGACCCTGAAGAAAACTACAAGCTGGTCTTGTAGCACAGTCTAACAACATCTATTTTAAAATTCTAAGTACCAGAAAAAGCTTGAACTACACAGGAGAGCAGATAACAGTATAAAAGCAATCCAAGGTTCTGCAGAACTGGGCACTAAGGCTCTTTAGCAGTTCTGAAGAATGTACACAGCTTACTTAACTAATATACAATGCTTTACGGTTGCAAAAGACTTTTTTGTATCTACAATATGTCTCTAAATTCTTAGTGTACTTTTAAATTGGTAAAACTTAAAACTGCATTAAGAATTTTGAGATACATAATATGTATAGGTATGTTTATATACACATGTATATGCATGTATACATACACATTTGTATATATGTATGGATATATATATATAAATATATGGATACACATGGCATCTTATTTATGTCTCTCAAATCTTACAAGACGGGTAGTTCAATTACCAATTCCATGATGAAACATGCTCAGAGATGATAAATAAGTTACTCTAAGTTCACAGAACTAAAAAATGGCAGAATTGGAATTCAAAACTAGCACCAACTGCAAAACACTTTCTGTTACCTATACATACTTCTGCAGCCTTATTGAAAAGATGGCTTTGTACTTATCCCAGAGAGATCAAGAGAACGGAAGAAAAGACAGAACACTTTGCTAACATCCTTACCATCTTACCAAAGACCCTCAGTGATACAGAGTGGCAACATGCTATTTATCCTCACTAGGATATTTAAAGCTACCTTACATCAGAATGAAGAAAGTAAAGTAGAATTTTATTGTTGTAAATTGTGTTGTAACTTCTTATAATTTTAACTGAGCAATATATGTTTAGCTACTATGTGCTATACACTAAGTCAATATAGGCAGAGAGAAGCTATTAGATGTGGCTACATTAGCAGGCACATAAACATGGGAAATAATGCTATCAATCCTGCATTCTTGATATGCAAAGAACAATAAGAAATAAAATAGCTGCCACGTGAGTAGGTTTGGAGAATTTCAGGAAAGATTGATCCAAATTCCATTATTACAGAGAAGTCAAGGACGTGTAGGGAATGTTCTGAGGATAATATCATGATGGGAGTAAGGATTGGCTGGCAGGAAGATGCATTATAGTATCCATTCATTTCTATAACTAAAATTTATTCCATGCCTAATGTGGGAAGAGTACTGTGCTAGCTACTGGATGAGATACAAAGATAATTAAGAAACAGTCCTTGCCCTCACAGAATTCACAGTTGGGAGGAGAGACAAATATAACACATAGACTTATAAGAACATAATAACTAGAATAGAGAACAGAATGTGATCAGAGGGAAGGAGTGAGGGAATAAACATTTATACAGCACCTATTATTCCAGACACTGGGCTAAGCAATTTTACAAATACTATTTCATTTTATTATAAGACCAATACAAAATGCTTCTCAAGGAACAAGGGAATTTCATTTGCAACTGAAGGGAAATCCCAAAAGGCTTCATGGAGGAGATGACTTTAAAGACAAGGCTGTAATTCTCTAATTCTGATTCAGAACCAGTACAGAATGGTAACAGAATTGGGAAAGGGATGCAGAGAAGGAAAAGAAGATTGCTGGAGCACAGACAATAGCGAATAGTGAAGGTACATAAGGAACATATAAGAGGTCTAGTAAGCCATTCAGTTTGGCAGGAGCGAAAGGCATAGTTATGGGGTATAGGGAGAGAAGAGACATTTGTTAATCACCTACTATATGACAAGGACAGGGGGCAGAGAAGAGAAATGTTAGATAAGGTTGCAAAAGTTGGATGTTGGCAAGTCTGGCCTCCATCTGGTAAACAAAAATATGACAGTGAAAATCTATGATCAAATTCATACATGGGAAAGAATAATCTAGTACTGGCATACAGGACGGATGGAGGGGAAAAAGGGAAGAAGGAAACAAGAGCCTACTATCATAGTCTAGGCAGGTAGTAAAGAAATTGTCTGCTAACATGATGGCAGTGGGAATAGAAAGGAGGGGACCAGTATGAGAGCTAATATAGAAAGGGAACTGGCAATTTGGAATGACACCCCCAAAATCATTAAATCACACAAACCCTTTCACTCAGAGATACTACTACGAAGCCTACTCCCCAAAGAGATCAAAGAAATTCGAAAGAAAAGGATCTGTATATACATAAATATTTATTATTTTGATTTATATGATTATATTATTTATACATTATATATAATTATTATTATTTATTAAAATATTTTTAGTAGTAGCAAAGAATCGGAAGCTGAAGGAGTGCCGTCACTGGTGAATGGCTGAAAAAATGATGGTATTTGAATGTAATGGGATGCTATTGCACTGGAAGAAATGACAAGGTAAATGGGTTCAGAAAAACCCTGGGAAGACTTGTATGAAGTGATGCAGAGTGAAGTTAGGAGAACCAGGAGAATAATCTGTACAATAACAACAAGATGGTAAAAGCAAACAACTTGGAAAGACTTAGGAATTCTTACCAACAGAATGACCACTCATAATTCCTGAGCACTGATGACAAACAGTGTGACCCATCTTGTGACAGAGAGTATGTAAGGCTCAGGTTGCTGAATTGGACTTAACATTTTACGTACATAGCCAATAAAGCAATTTGTTTTGCCTAACTGTGCATGTTTGTTATAAAGCTTTTATTTTATATTTTCTTTTTTTTCCCAATAGGGTTGGGGAGGGAGAGGGAGGGTTAATGGTGGGAGGGCAAGAAACTAAGTGCTTGTAAAATGAAAAAATAAAAATTTAGCAAGAATAATAAAAATAAACTAATCTGAAACAATAGAATTGTCAAGACTTGGTAACTGACTGGATATGGGAGCTGAGCTATAGAGGAGATAAAAATAATGCACTCATTGGTGTCTGTCCAAGATACCGTCCTGGGCAAGATGGTCTGAACACCTTAGCCAAAATGGTAATTCTTATCCTCTATTATAATAAATGCTAGCTTTATGAAATTTTCCATCATTGTTATTAATTTTCAAATTGCTATTTGTGAGAACTACTCCCTAGGACAATTAATTTAAAAGGGAATGCATTTCTCTTGCATCTAGGATGACTAAGAAAGTTAACATTAAAAATCATATTTGCCTGAATCACATTCTTTATGCCATCAAAAGGACCCCTTCCACTATTTTAATCTGCAGCCTACATTTGAGTTTTAAGTAGTGCCACTGCAAAGTTCTAAGCTCCTCTGTTTTACAAGTCACAAAATCAGCAGATGCTATGACATCGATCCTTCTTTAAGCCAGCACCACACAGCCAATTAAATTTCTTCCTCTCACTGTGAGCAGTAATGGATCCCTCCCTCACTACCATGACCAAATGAAGTATGAGTCTGCCCTCAGGAATGCAATCACACACTAAAATTCCCAGCTGCAAAATGAATGTCACTATGGTTTCAAGACATTACTTAAAATGTCATTTATCCAAAGGATAACCACTGGACCTCTGA